AGGAAGGGTGAAAGGGAACGAAGGCAAACGGCAAACGGGCAAAAGGAGAGAACAGACAGAAACCTACCAATGCTGCAGTTGGACAGCTTTTCTTCATCTCTTGGGGCTGGGAAACCAAGGAGATCAATAAATGCACTATTTCATTGAGGAGGCTAACACCTCCTTTTTATACTCTAGGCAAGCAGGAGCCTTGGGGCCAGTCGGGATGCTGGGGGCTCCAGACCGACTGAGACAGCTGAGAAGGCTGTTTAACTTGAGCTTCTGCCGTGCGCATCCTAGCCTCGCGATTGAACTAGCCTCTGTAGGCCAGTGCTGCTTGAGCATACTGCAGGCTCTCAGCAGGGCCTGGTGAGGGTGGGACAGCGATCTTGAGCCAGAGAAGTGTACACATTTTTTTTTAAGCAAGAAAAAGCACAAATTCAACATCCTTTTTGCTTTATTGCAAAGAACGGGAGAATCATGCTGGAAAAACACATCTGGCCCTCCACAAAGGTCAGTGAAGACCCAAGTGCCAATGCCACGGTCTGCGATGCTAGTATCAGGCCTTGCAGTGCCTCCACTCTTTGGCAGGGGCGGCCTTTAGTACCATGCTGACTCTTGTAACCTTGGATGGCACATGCGAGCTTCTGAATCCCAGCCAGCTGAAAGAGGTCTATTTGGCTGTCCTATAAGGCCCTGGGCAGAATGGGCCTGAAGCCGCCTGCATCAGGGCACTCTGGCTTGTTTTATCAGCCAAATTGGCAGGGCTCTTGAGTCCCAGGAGAGTCCTGGATGTTCTGAAGAGTTCAAGGAGAAGGCTTTGAAGGGTCAGTGAAGTCCTGGAAATGATGGGTTGAACTGTGGGAATTCACAATTATGCTTTTTTTCACAGAATAAGTCAGAACCTTCCTTAGATTTTCCAGAAGTACACTAAAAGGTTAAGAAGGACAGGTTTACATAATTTTCTTTCATTTTATTTTTGTAGCTTCCACCATCTCATACTTTCCAATGGCCGTGGGCCCTCCCCAAACTTCAGCCTGGAAAGTTGCTTTCCACATCCCCAATATGCAAGGCTGTAGACTCTAATGCTGGCCCAGTGGACTGCTAGGGCCTCTTTCCCTCAAGGAATCTGCCTTCCACTCTCCTAGGACCTACTTCCCATAGGACAGAGCTTTTCTGATAGGTCTGGGCAGGGCTAAGTAGCAAAAGGCCTTTCTCAGACCTTCCCCAGCTTTGTGGCATTTCCAAATGGCACTGTGGAACACAACAGTCTTAGCCAGTTCTATCCTCTGGTGTGTAGAATAGAAGCCGGGAAGATTCCTATGCTGCAGTGCTCTGAAGCTTTTCAGTGCTCACTTTCCTCAGCCACTCAGGACTAGCATGTGAGAATATGCCTTAGCCTTGTACATAAGAGCAACCCAAAAGTTAATGACGTCTACACAGACCGGAGTCTTGATTCTGCTCAGCTGCCTCTTTAGCTTGAGGAGTCTGGCTGGAGAGAGCTGGCTGTCTTCTACTCTCCCTTTCTTTCTCCTCTGCTCTCTCTTCCCCCTCCATATTTCTTTCTGTCCCTCACCTTTTTCACTCCATCCTCTTTTTGAGCTCCGATACCCTGTCTGCAGACCCGGTCACCGACTTGGACTGAGATCCAAGTGGCTGAAGCACTGCACTAGTGCATTAGAGATGGCTTGGCCTCCTAGGCGTGGGGCCGAGCAGCTTGAATCTCAGAAGCCAGAGCCTGGGCTCCACCTAGACTGCTCTCTCCTGTGCGTTTGGGGTCCTCTCAGGACGCCTTCCTCCTCCAGTTGGGTTCACTCTGGGAGGAACCAGAACAGGACCACCGGGCTGTTAGACTTTCCCTGTCACAGGTAGAGGTTTGAGTGATCTACTTTCTGGACTCCTGTGGTCAGCAACTCCAGCTCCAACCAGAGCTTGCTGAGCAGGCAGGCCTGGGACATTCCGGAGAACCACAGCCCACAGATCAGGGGCAAGGCAGCAACCTCCTGGGCTTCACTGGATCCTGCTGGAAAAGGTCACATTTCCTCAGCCTTGTATAGGGCCCATACCTGGGGGCTAGCGCCCCAAGCTGGCCATTTCCAATTGGCTAAGAAAGTGCCCCTAAGAAGGAGCTGGTGTCTGCTGAGTAAAAGAGCTGGCTTCTGATCGCTCTTACAACAGGACCACAAGCCTAGCTCAGCTTCCAAGCCAATGGATTTCCTCATGGGGCATTGTTAAAATGCACACACCCTGCTAGCAAGGACTGCCCCCGCAGAGGATATGAAAGGAAGGGGAAGGGGAAGAGGGATGGGGACAGCAAAGCTGGAGTGTAGTGACATTTGGATTTTTTTTTCATAGCCTCCAGGATATGTATAAATGGCAAGGATAAAAGGAGAGAGGAGAACAGTGTGTCAGAGATGCCTGCTAGGTGCCTTCCAAGTTTTCCTCTCAGGTCTCCCCATCCTAGGAGACCACTGACCCTAGGGTAATGTTTCACTTCCCTCAAAGGACTTGCGCTTGGGGCCTCCTCGGGATAATGGAGCCGGGTAGCATCTGAACCTGGCTCTGGACTCCAGCTTAAGGTGAAGAAAGCTTTCAGCCAAGGTTGCCAGTTGCCTCCTTTCCTTACCAGTGCCAAATCCACAAGGTTCCTGAACAGGAGGTGAGAGGTGAGGCAGATGAGCAAACTGGAGGAGAAAACCTGATTGATCCACGATGCAGCAGGACCCAGGGGCCAGGGATCAGCCACTGCATTTTGGAGAATATTCTGTGTGAAATGTCAGTCAAAGTATGGCTATGGCCATAGCCATTCCCTTCGGATTATAGAAATTCTGAGGGTCCTCCTAGCTTTAGGACCAGGTTTGCCGCTTTTGGGAGCCAGATTTTGGAGACGGGGCCAGCTTCAGGTCCAGAGCTGAACTGAAAGACCCTGAGACCCCCAACAGGGCTCCCTAAGTGGCCAGGGAGAGCCAAAATGAAGACCGCTTCCGCAGCAGGGATGGAGAGCACCCAAGGCAGGCTAGGGTGCACACTATAAACACCCCACTTGTTAACGGCAGGGGCCCAAGGATGCTTCCAACAGACCCTCGCAAGGGGCTCACCTCAGAGTAGGGGCGGGACGCGCTCAAGGACCGGGCCCCCCACCAGCCACTGTGGAGCAGCCCCTGTAGCTCCCGGCCTTTGGGCCAAGGTGTCACGCGTGCGTCTCCTGGTCCATCAATACAGATTACATATTTATATCAATCGCGGGCTCTGAGGGCGCCCTCGGAGAGCGGCCCCGCGCCTACGAAACCAAACTGGGAGTGGTCGCGCGGAAACTCTGGCTCGGGATTGGCTGCGGGCGCCCGCCGCGGTGCGGGGGGATTGCTAATCGTATTCAGCATGTTTTGCACAAGAAATGTCAGCCAGAAAGGGCTATCTGCTCCCTTCGCCAAATTATCCCACAACAATGTCATGCTCGGAGAGCCCCGCCGCGAACTCTTTTCTGGTCGACTCGCTCATCAGCTCGGGCAGAGGCGAGGCGGG